GCTTAGCTTTTTAGGTTTTTTTTTGAATTTTACCCTCCTTTCCCTAATTGTGCACATTTATTTTATTTTCTCATCGTTAAACAAAAAAATATTTGGTTTTGCAAAATTTATTCGCCTTTTAAAGCAGCCAGCAAAAACATTTGCCACTGCATTTTGGGGAGGACAGTGAACGAAACCAAAAAACAGAGATAAAAACAACCATAAGGCACCTTTATTTGGTCATTTTTTATAGTTTTTTTTTGTATCATTTTTGTGTACTAATGAATAAAAGTATTTATTCTTTTTTCACTTTTTTTTGTAGCTAAAAAAATATTTTGATTTGTTTTGTTTTTTTCAAACAATGAACTAATTATTAGCTATGTCTGTCTGATTGGCAACACAAACGCACAGATACACTGATACGGGCATTTACCTCAAAAACAATGTTTAATATTTGATATTTCAGACATTGCTAATAACACAGATAAAAGAAAGTCGTTTTGATAAAAAATCTGAATTGTTCTGAATTGTATTGATAAAAACAAGAATTTTTTTTTGTTTTCTCTTACAGATTCAGACCTGTATGCCGGTACTCTGCTGCAATGCTCGACGACGTAAGGATAAATCTGAAGCTAATTCACCAGATTCACAGTATAAGGTAATCATTTGTTTTGAAGTCACGTATTAATACTTGTTTCTAGATTAAACATATTCAACAACACTAACAATTAACAATTATTATCGTCCATTGAAGTTTATTTGGATTTTTTTTTTTTGCTTATTTCAAACGTCAATTAATGGTCATTTAAAGCAAAATTATTGCCGCAAAATTATCAAATTAATCACTTAAACTGTCTGTAAACACAAAAATTAGATACTAATTGAGAAAAAAAATAATAATATTAGGTTTTTTTTTTCCTGTAACTAACACTTAATGTGCAGTTTACAGAAGGGTTTATTTGGCTTGATGTTTGCAAAAATTGATGAATTTGAAAGTTTAACACCGCTTATGACCACACCAGAATCCACTGATGATTCAACACCATCAAATAAGGTATCGATGATACCTGTGGATCAAAGTCCGCCATTGCCAAGGAGACTTTCAGCCGGCAAAACATTTATTGTCCCTTTGGCAACAAGCAGAGGTTGGCACATACGATAACGTACATATAAAATATTTTGAATATGAAACCAAAACTAAGCACTAAAGAATGATTTAGAAACATTAATCTTGTTTTACTACTTCTTAATTTTGTGCCAAGCTATTACTAAAACTTTTAAAATATATTATCAATTATTTTACAAATTTGTAGTTTTAGCAATCGTTGGACAGTATTAAATTCTGTGAAAAAAGCAGAAC